CTGATGACATTTCTTAAGCACAATTATGTGGGCTTTGAAGCCAGAACAGATGCTTCTTGAGATGGTCGGATTGGTCCTTGTTGGCATAAATGGGCATTCATTTTTCAACTGTTAGGTAAGATTGCTTTTTATCCATACATACATGCCGCAGAGATGTGGAACAAGGAGCTAACCTGTAATTGTGGTTCTTCAAGTGGTTATATACGAACGGAACAAAATCCGTTCACATTTCTTTTCTAAATGCCTATCTTGGTAAATACATTGAATTCTATAATTTGCTCAGTTGGTGGATGGAAACTAAAGAAAAGTGACTCAAAATGCATTCAATGTGTTGTCCTTCAAGCCTGCCTCTAATATGGCAAGTTCTTGATGAAGACTTTCAGCAAACATGAAACCAAGGAGCGTGAATGCACAGTTCAACACTTGAAGAAGCCCTTTTATATTTCTACAGGTAAGCAACCTGTTCATTCCCGCACTAAACATTTACTGTTCTGTACAAAACTATTGGTTCTTGCAAATTCAGGTTACCTTTTCCAGCAGAAATTTTGATACAAAGTGAAGAAAACAAGGTCGGAGCCTATTATTTACATGACAAGTGCTCTATACTTTGGCATTTTCTTTGCATTGCAGAAAAGGATAGAAATTGATTGTGCAATGCAATGTTATCAGAAAGGAACATGGTTTAAATCCTACGCTGCCAAACATGTTTTAGGATACTAGCTTTATAAAACATTTATGCGTCAAGTTCTCTAGATAGCGATTGAAAGTATGGTTTTCAAAGGTATATGATGACTTAGTACTGCAGTAATACCTCTACTAATTATAATGAAAATCCATTGTCTTCTCTTCATGTGGTGCTTTTAGAAATATATAGCTAGAGGGCAAAAATTGATGTAAAACATTCCATAGTCATTTTTGACTCTGCCTGCTTACACTCACTGGTTGGAGAGAGTTAACAATTTGCATTCTGTTGTTGTTTTTAAGTGGGACACTACATATTCCCTTTTTTTAGTATCCCTTCTGTGCAGCCACCATTTTTTTTCCAATCCTTATTACAAACAGTGACTCAATTTCTTGTTATTTAGAGGCAGGAAATATGTTAAAACTGTACAATAGGCCTCGATTGGTATTTACCATACATCTGGAGGCCCAGATGAGGCCATGCATACATGTCTCTTCACTCAGGACCAAAAAAATCCTCCCTGCCAACTCCAAGCAAAATGTGTTGACTTTCTGGGAAAGCCAGAGAGGAGATTTCAAATGGTGGGATACTTGTTACCCCACAATTGTGATCACAATTGGCCATCTCCTTTCTGGCTTTCCCAGAAAGTTAACACATTTTGCTAAGAGCAAACAGATTGCCATGTGCCTAGATTGCAATTGTGATCGTAGGACAAGTGGTGCAACGTTTTAGGAAAGTTGGCCATAAAACACCTTTTTAAGAAGGTTGCAATTTCAAGTGGTCTTTAAATGAAATGTAAGTAGGCTGTAAATACATGAGTCTCAAAGACTTTCTTTTCTTCTTAATGCATATTTTCTTCTCTGTCATTCTGTTAAATGTTGTTTACGGTGTACATTTTATTTTTAAAGACAGTTCGGTGGAAATTGTCTTTAGAGTCTCTGGTTCAGCTGGCTCAGTTGCACAACAGTTTCGTGGTTTTTTTTTTTAAGGGTTTCTTCTAAAACAGATTATCTTTTGGAATCCAATGCTCTCTTATCAGGCCAACCGGAAACTTGTTTCTCCAACAGATCAAAGAGTTTGGGCTGGTTGAATGCAACAGGCTGGAATTAGATAAACTTGAAGAGAGACACAAATATTGTAAAACGTCTCCATGTTTATTGTTTTAAAGCAATGTGGAAATCCAGATTTACCAGAGATCATTTGTACAGAACGGATGGAAGAGCAGTTTTTAATTATCTGAAGTTAATTGCGATACTCACAACATTGTAATCAAGTATCACTTTCCTTTGGAAACATATGGCTTACTTTTTTATTCCCTTTACTAGAAATTGAATTAATTGTAAACTGTTCAGAAGTTAGTAAGGGAGCATCTCATCTCGACTGATGAGATGGTTTTCCGTGATCCACTCATTTGATCTTTATAACTTTGAGGAAAAATGAAATAGGAAATTCTGGAGGGGTACATTTGTAAGGTTAAGCTCTGGTTTCTATATTTAGACCAATGTAAGATCTGCTTTATTTACACAGTTAGTCCTTGACTTACAACCACAATTGAGCCTGAATTTTATGTTGCTAATGCAGGGCTCTTCCAACTTGACAGCTTTAAGACTTGTGGACTTCAACTCCCAGAATTCCTCCTCCAGTCACGTTAGCTCAGGAATTCTGGGAGTTGAAGTCCACAAGTCTTAAACTTATCAAGTTTGAAGCTAATGAATGACTTTTTCCCCATTTTATGACTTTTCTTGCCACTGTTGTTAAGTGAATTATTGCAGCTGTTGAGTGAGTAGCACATTTGTGAAGTGCATCTGGTTTCTCCATTGACTTTGCTTGTCAGAAGTTTGTAAAACTGTTGACATGACCCTGGGACACTGCAATTGTCATAAATATGAGTCAGTTACCAAGCATCCGAATTTGGATCACATGATCTCAGGGATGCTGCAACAGTCATAAATGTGAAAAACGATCGCAAGTCATTTTTTCAGTGCTGTTGTAACTTTGAACGGTCACTAAAAGAATAACACAGGTAGTTGAGGACTAGCTGTATTATTCCTGTAATAGAGCTTTATATATTTGCTGCTATATTTGCTATAATACCTTTATTAGGATTATTAAGACCCAATTCTTACCTGACAGATGCTATTTGATTTAATGATTGAAGAATGTGAAAATGACACAGGAAGCTGTTGGATTGTTGCCTTGGCATTTAAGGACACAGATGTACCAAGACCTCATGTGGTCAGAGCACCTTCCAAGGGGCCACTGATAAAGATGAAAAGGTGGCAGTGGAAGATTATTAAATCCATATAGCATTGGCTATA